TGTTCATTTTTGGAAATGAACTGAAAAAATTACACAATTTTTCTTTTTCCAAATGAAAAATTTTGAAAAAAATAAATGAATGAATGAGATGGTCGCGCCCATACACATGATGACGATTCTCGAAAATGATGATTTGTTGTTGATTAAAATAAATTTCATTTTGAAATTGTAAAAATCAGAAAACGAATCAAATAAATTTTGATTTTTGATTTAAAAGTTTTCAATTTGTAATCAATGTGACAAACAATATCCGAATCAAATATGGATAAACAATCATCATCATCAAGATCTTTATCGATGATCAAACAATCAATCGATTGGATCATTATTCATTTTTTATTTATTTGGTTATTTATTATCCAGCAATTCAATACTATTCGTTATTTTATATTTTCAGCATTAAGTTTATCGCCATCATCAGTGTCGTCAACAACAACAACTTCTTTGACTTTAGATCACAACATTGACAGCAATAATAATAATGATGATGATAATATTGATGATCAGGTTTGCTAAACAAAAATTTCGTTTTTAAATCTTTTTTTTTCAAATTCTTAACTTTTTTTCTAAAGAATTTTCAAAGTTTCTTAGCCTTTTCTATTTCTTAAAAACTTGAGTAAACAAATATTTTTTTTGTCATGACATCCATATCCAAATCTGATTTTTTTTTTGTTGAAAAAAATGTCATTCCATCATTTCATTTTCACCTCTTTATCACGGTATTTTTTTATATAAAAAAACCGGTGATAAATCACAATACCAGTGGCGGCTGTATGTAATCCATCAGAAAAATGACGATGGCAGGATAGAAAAAAAAACTTGGCAAAATGCAATTGCTTTTCATTTTTGATTTTTGTTTTCACTCTTTTCCATCAACCATTTATTTACTTTGATAAATAAATTTGTTTGGTTGACATTTTTTCCTCTCTCTCTCTCTCTCTCTCTCTCTTCCTTGCTCGAAAGTGAATGGTTAAAAGCATCCATCAATAATGATGATGATGATATTCACCATATTCTGTAGATTATTCACATGTAGTGGATATTCATTCTGAAATTTCTGACAAAAAAAAAATTAATGTTTTTCGTTTGTTGTCAATGTTTGTTTTTTTTGCCCATTTTCTCTCAATGTGTTTGTTGAAATAAATTGAGCGCAACAGTAGAACAAAAATGATTGCCATCATTATGATGATTATGATCAGTAACGAGAATAAATAAACATTACCAGGCCAGCTACCAGAAAACTTGTTGGAATATTTTTTTTTTGTTTAATGATGACTTTTGAGTAATATTGATGAATCCAATTCCTTGGAAATTGTATTAGTTTTTTCCCCTTTGATAAAATTTTTTTCGGAAATACGAATGTTATGTGTGGGAAAAAACATCCCCTTAAATGGCCATTGGCTTTAACAGAACTAAAATGATGAAGCCGGCTGATGATGCAAAATAAATTTCATCATCAATTTAGTAGCAAGTTTTTGTTGTTGTTGTAATTGTTACATCAAAATTCATCTTTATCCAATTTTCATATGTCTTTTAACTATTTATGGAACAAAATTTCTCCTCTCATTTCGCCCTTTAGACAAACAAACAAACAAAAAAACACTTGAAAAGACTTGAATTGGAAAGGAAAAAAACATCTGTTCCATTTACTTCTTTGAATATGATTCATTCATATTCAAAGAAGCAAATTTCCATTATTCCATTACAATTATTGGCCACCACTATTTACAAATTTGTTGATCTTTTTTTTTCCTACTAAATTTCTCTTTTTTAGTTGTTGATACATTATTATTTTACGCGTGTCGTTGCCATAATCATTGCGTTTGTGTAATGATCGATTATCGATTTTTGTTGTTGTTTTTGTTGATGATTGATCAATGTTGATGATAGTATCGATGATACCGTTGTGTTTATGATAATCAACTAATCATTTTTGATTAAAATAAACAAACAAATAAAAATTATCACAGGAATCCTCTTGCCGATATTAAATCTCTCTTGATTTTTTGTGTTTTTGATTATAAACACCATCATCATCATTCCGCTGATAATAATCAAAACACGTATCAAACGTGTGTTAGTGAGAGAGATTGATAGAGAAGGTGAGAGACGTGTGTTTTATATTTCAACATCTAATTTTGAAGAAAAACCTTTCTCTCTTTCAAACGTTGAAATTTCATGATGATGATGATGATTGGTTAAACTTGTTATCTTTATATGGTGTTTTCTGTTGTTGTTGAATGAATCATCCTTACATTTTTTTTAATCCATAATCCATTCCAAGACCTTATGGAATATTTCATGTTCAAGTTTGTTTTGTTTTTGTCAATGTTTTCTTTGGGTTTTTGTTTTTCTCGTAATCAAAACAATTTTTTTAAACCGTTTTTTCTACTCACCAAAATGTGCGTGAATTTTATCTGATAATTTCAGGTTTTTTTTATTAAAAACTGTCGTTTTGTTGATGAAGGTTTTTTTTTGTATAAATAATCGACCTTCATTGAATCCAAAACACATCTCTTGTTTGTTAGAATTTATAATTTTGTTTTCCGCAGAAAAAAGAACATAAATATTCATTGATAATGAATCGATTCTAATCAATCGATAATCATTAATCAAATTGAACAGTTTTTTAACAAAAAAAAAGTTACAATTCCCACAGTGTTTTTGTGTGTTAATAAAAAAAGAATTTCAAATGTAATTTGAGAATTTATCCAAAATATCAAAATATTCTCACTTAATCAGTGAATTTTTGGTGTCAAAATTCTTGATTTTTTTTCTCTTTTGGAAAAAAATTATTGTCATCGTCATCAAGTGTCAACCGAAAAAAAATATCTTATTCTTCTTTGCCAAATCTTTTTTGCTTTCTCCAATCAAAACGATACACACACACACACATTATTCAGATTTCCTGGCTGGCTTTAGGATTTAGAATATTCTTATTTTGATAAATCTTTTTTCGTTTTTGCTGTTGCATAGAATTTCCATTACAAACATATATCATGACAATCAATGATATAATTCTTGTCAAGTTGTTTCGGTTTTTTCTGGTTTAATTCGTCTTCTTCTGAGGAATAATGTATGAATATTTTTCCCTCTCTTCTATTCTATAATTCGGGTTGTTCACCCGTGTGCGCAATAACTAAACTAAATGAATGTGATGAGTGAGAGAAAATTCTTAGAAAAAAAGAAGATCTTCCGCCCTTTATTCTTTATATTTTGTTTACAGAATTTGATTTGTGCAATTTCTTGCAGCAGAATTAGATGTTGTTGTGGATAAAAGTCAATGAAATGTTTGTCTTCTTCTTCATCCGATGTCATTGTCCCAATTCCTGATGCCTAAAATGTTGTCATCATCATCATCATCATCAGCATCATCAACAACAGCATCAACAGCTTATAATAACAAAGCATATTTTGTCTGTATGTTTTACAGTTGTAGCATCAATCAAGCAAGCGAGCCATGATCATGATGATTATGATGATTTTCAAAGTTTATAATCATTGATGATTGGTGTTTGATGGTGTGTTTGTCTGTGTCGTTTTTTTCGTTTTCACTTTGCTCAAATTTCGAACATTAATCGTATTTCTCGATTGATTTGGATTTTTCTTTTTCATTTGAAATTTTATTTCATATTTTCTCTCTGTTTGTTTATGTGTTTGGATGTGTTTCTTGCTTGAACGAAAAACTTTTCTAAATTCTAAAATAAACTAAAAAAGATGGAACGCTCATCGAATAAATCAATGATGACCAACAACAACACATCATCATCAACAATGAATTCTAGTGGTAAAAATTCTGTAAGTTTTTTTTCAGAAAAATGAAGTTTGTTTTGGTATCCTTTATGAAAAAATTTAAAAAATTTTAATTTTATTTTTGAAAAAATTGCATGAAAATGCTTATCATTCTTTTGTTGTTTTGTTTTTTGCTGCTGGAATTTTTTTTGTTCTTGAAAATCAAAAATGCCAAACACACGCATATATAAAAAGACCTTGCATGATGATGATGATAATAATAATAATAATAATGTTGATGGTGGTAATGAAAAAATCATTGTAAAAAATTTGATTGATTCCGAATGGAATGTTGAACAACAACAACAATTGAATATAATGATCAAACAAATTGTTAATGATTCTGTACATGATGCTTGTATGGAATTATTATTGGAACAACAACAACAACAATCTTCAAGCATTGATGAGGAATCATATGATGATGAGGATGCTGTAAGTAAAATCTATCATGTTTGAAATTTGATTCCAAAATTTTGTTCCGATGTTTATTCATTTTGTTTTTGTTTTTTTTTTTGTTTTCTGTTGTCTTTATTTCCTTGCTATTTCGTTGCTGTTTTCTTTCGATAATTCTTTTTGCATCATCTTTTTCTGAATTTACAAATCTTTTTATTATTGAAAATTAATGATTTGATTTTTCGGATTTTAGGCCCGTAAAAATAATAAAAAACGTAATAATCATAGTAATCGTAATAAACAAAAATCAACAACAACGACAACATTGAATAACAACAATATTGATAAAATTGATCCAAAGATAGCTGAATCGAAAAAACAACAGCCATCCGTAACAACAAAAACAACTTCAAAAGAATCAAAATCCAAGAATTCAACTGCTGCTGCTGATAATAAAATCAAACAAGAATTGATTATTGTTGATCAATCAGAAGAAATTTGCAATAAAGAATCAAATATCGAACCTGTTGCTACTGCTACTGCTGCTACTGTTGTTGATGATAAAGAAAAACAACAAGATTTGGTAAGAAAAATTGAAATTTCCATTTCAACAGAAACTAGGGAATCTATTTTAGGAATGATTGCCATTCGATTTGGTTTAGTTTAGTTTTCGTTTTGTTTATATTATTCCGAATTCATTTAGCAAAACAAGATTTTAATCTTTGATTTTGTTTACATTTCCAAATCATCATCATCAATTCTTTCTTTGTAAAAACGAAATTTCATCATTTCTTATTTTTCATTCCATTAGAATTCATCCAATAAATGTTCAACGGATAATAACGATAATAAAATGAACGGGGTTAAATCATATGGTTCGGTATGTAAAATTTTGTTTTTTTTTCAAAATTGAATTTGAATTGAAAATTTTTGTTCTTGTTTTCCAAATAGAACCACATGAATGGTGTTTGTATTGGTGAATCGACTAAATGTAAAATATGTTCAAAACATGTATATCATATGGAACAGATAAAAGCAGTAAAATCAATATTTCATAAATCATGTTTTCGTTGCGTTGAATGTAATAAACAATTGAAGTGAGTTTTTTTCAAAACATTCCAACTAAAACCAACCAAATAATAATAATCCTTTTTTCTTTTATCCACCATCATCATTAGTATGGATTCATATTCATCACATGAAGGCCAAATATATTGTAAACCACATTTTAAACAATTATTTCAACCAAAACCAAATTTCGATAATAATAATATAATCAGTAATGGTAATTGCAGTAATGGTATTGTTGATATTGATATTATTGAACAACAACAACAACAACATTCATCACGTACATCAACATTAAAATCAAATGATTCTTGTAAGTAGATTTGTTGTGTGTTTTTGAAATGTTATGTTATGTTGTTTTTTATTGCAACGACGACATTTTTGGTGTAAACCAAAGCCAAAAAAATGAAATGATAGAAATCATGTTTATTCTCGAAATAATTCTGCTTAAAAACAGGCAGAGAGAGAAAAACGGGAACCATAACACAAACACACCCGAAAAATTATCCTAAACATCAAAAAAAAAACTAAAAGGAAATATATAGCATCAGCAACAACAACAAAAACTCCCGTTATGCGTGATGATCATCATCATCATTGATTGAATGATGATGATATTTATAAATCGGTGTTTCTGTGTGTATAAGGGGGTGGATGTTTAAGAGAATTAGCAAAAGTCTAGTTTGTCTTATTTCATTTCATTATCGTCATCTTTGTTGTTACCGAAGAATATTGCCAGAATCGTAGTCAATAATAATTCAGGTTGTTGTTGTTTGTTGTTGATTGGTTGGCAGTAATTTTTTCGGTTTCAGTGTTTACCATCAAACAAATTCACATAAATCTTAAATTATTACACACTTTTTTTCTGCCAGTTAGTGTTGTTGATAATCAGTTTTTTTCAGTGGAAAAAAACATTTCCATATTCAAATTTTTCAAACAACAACAACAAAAATTCATTTCTAAGAAAATCACATTCTTTATCTTTATTGTGTCTTTCATATTCATTCAGTTTGTGTGTGATTCATTCATCCATATACTGCATCCATTATGGATCATAATAATCATGGTGAGTTTCAAGAAAAAAAAGGATTTTCTTTCTTTCTTTCTCGATGAGATAAAATATATGAGACAAATAATAGAGTTTTGTAATTGAAAAATTCTTAATTTAAATTTCTGTTTTCAAATTTTTTCCAATTCCCAATTGTGTATGGGAATTTTTTTCGGGGATCTTGTGAATGTGTGAAAATTATCATATAACAACAAAAAAAACTAGCCAACCAGCTAATAATGAACAACCGATAATTTAATTCAAATCAGATCAAAAGAAAATTCTCATTACAGGTAAACATCAGTTGAAAGTTTTTGGTTTTTGTTTTCAATTCAAAAATCGATCCATTTTTTTGTCCACTGTTTTTGGTCAGTTTTTATTCGACGATCCATGATCCCTATCATGGATCATTTCATTTCCAATCTACATTATGATTATGCTGTCGTTTCTTTCTTGTTGTTGTTTACTTGTCAAACTTTTTTGTATTGTTTGTTTGCTTGTCTCTCGTGATTGCATATATATTGGTAGCAGATATTTTTAGCTTTTTTTGACTTGTAATTTTGTTATTATTATTATTTATTTATTTATCTCTTCTCCTTTATAAGAATAATCATTTTATTATTATTTTTATTGGTTTAAATAATAATTTTTTCTACCGTTTTTGTAGTCTGATTGTAATGGTAAATGTGGATCGAATAAGATTAGATTTTTTTGAATCATTTAAAGACGATTATTTTGTTTGAAAATTTTATTTTTTTTCAAAAAGTTTTCTGAAATTTCCTGACAAAAAATGACTATTTTTTGAAGGGAAAATTTTTCAAAAAGTTTTTTTTGCCCGAAATATTTCTCTATGATTGGTCACTTTTTTTTCAATTATCATAATGATGATGATGATGATACAATCGAATGATCACATACCATTGTTGATCGGTTGGTTGATTGGTTGACTGGTTTGGTGATATATACAAAAAAAATTGGTGTCACTTTTTTTTCTGTTCCTGCTTTTTTTATCTTATAATGTTAATCATTTTTTTTGGGGGATTCTTAATCCTAATTTTATCTCTTTCTCCTTCTATATGAATATAAATGATGATTATCATTAACTATCCGGCTTTTTCTCTCTCTTTCTTTCTCCAAAAAAAAAATTGTATCATTTTTTTCCCAAATAATATATTTTATGCCGACCAAACCATAGGTAATTTTTTCATAAACCAAATAATCCCCATATGCACACACACACACACCTGTTGCATTTGTCAAAAATTATCCTTATTGAATGTATGTTTAAATTATTTTAAATTTGAAAATTTTTGCTACTGTGTGTGTGTGCGCTCGTTTTGTTCATCATTAAACAAACAAACAAAAATCATCCATTGGTTTTCTATGGATTTTGTTTTTGTTTTTGTTTGAAAAATATTCATCGAAAAAAAAATCATCATAACAAACAATGTGAACAATATAATATGTGATTATTATGATAATGATCGACCTAGATTTTAGGTTTTTTTTGTTTTATGATTTTTAATTTTTGAAAAAAAGACAAAACAAATATGCAAAGTCCATGAGTAACATTCTAATAATATATTATATCATTTTTTTTTGTTCTTCTTGTTTGTCATTATCGGTAATTAGTTTCGGTTTGTCGATTTTTTTCCCCTTCTCCTTTCTTTCTCTCTTTATTTTATCGATACATATTGATTTTGATCATAATCGATCCCTATTGATTTTTATTTCATTTGGAAAAAATGTAATCTTTTTCTTCATTTGACCTAAAATTTTCATAAAAAGATTTTGGTTTTCGTTTCTGATGTTGTCACCACCAGAATAGTCTATGTGTGTGTGTGTGTGTTTTCTGCCAAAAGCAAATAAATTTTTATTTTTCTGGTTTGCATCCAGATACCGGCCATTAAGCGATTATTACGTAATACGAGCAACAAACACCACACACACATGTTAAAATATAACAAGAAAAGTATGAAAAAAACCAGATTCTTTCCAGTTTTTTTTCTTCGTATTCGGTTTTGGCCATATATTCGACATAAAGATTTATAATCTTTACTTGTTTTTTTCATTTCTCTTGGCCATTTTTTCTTTTCGTTTCTCATATATGATTCATCCATTATCTGTCTTTTGTTTGTCTCTATCTATCTATATCTCTTGCATACACTGGTTGTATCTATCTGGTGTGTATGTGTTTCTGCTGTGTCTGTATGGTTTCATATATGATTCGAAAGTTAAGCAAGCAAGCAAGAGAAGTTTGACTAGATTTATGTGATTTTTTTTTGTTGTTTAGTTTGATTCGAGCCAACATTGTGAAAGGAAACAACAAACAAGCAACGAGATTTCTATCCATTCATATTATCATCATCATAGCCTGTATTCAATCCAGGATATTCATGTGTTTTTTGATTTGATCGAATTGAATTTTTGTTCATTTCAAATGGAATAATAAATTAAAAATAAAAACAATGACGACAACGACAATAATCAACAACAAAAAAATGACAAATGTAATTTGAACAAAACTTTTGATGAATTTGTTTTTTTTGTTTTTTTACTTTCAATTTTAAAATTTTAAATTGTGGTGGTGGTGGCTTGTATCAATGTTTTTTTTGTCTTGTTTTGGTTATGCCGGTGATACTCATTTCGTATATAGATTTTAGTGTGTTTGTGTTTTGGATCATTTGCTTCTATAGTTGGATACTACTCTCTATTCTTTGCTCTATTGCAAAAAATTACCCATATATATCCAACAATATTTGGTCAAATTCACAATGCTAGGACCCATTTAATTTTCATCATATGTGTACCTTGTGTGTGTGTTTATAATCCAAATGTTTTTTTTTCATATGACATTGCTTTGTCGTTTGTTTGTTTGTTACATATCCAACCAAAAAATAAATTGAGCTTGAATTTTCAATTTTGTTGTTGTTTTGGTTTCATTTTTTAAATTTTTTCTCTCGTTGTTTTTCAATCAATATCAACATAACAAAAAGGTGAAACATCAAATATTGATGATGTTAATGATTTAGATCAAACAACAACCAACAACATTGATGAAATAGATGTGGATGGAAAAAAATCATCATCATCATCAGTAACTGCGAAAAAATATGAACTGATTATTTGTGAAAATCAACCAATTGAATTACCACCGGATGTTGTACGATGTAAGTATTTGAAATATGTTGCAAAAAGATGCAGATAATCGCTTCTATGAATCATCATCATTTGTTGATGGTTTTGCCTTTCTAATGAAAGAATGTCCGCATCATTTCATAGCTTATTTTTTTTAAATTCGTTTGATGCTTTTAACAAGCTATTGCTGCTTATTTTTAATATGTACAACGCCCATTGTGTGATTGCTTTGTTTTGGCAATTTTTTTTCCATTTTCGTTCATTCATATGTGGTGTGTGACCATTTCATTATCATCAAATTTGATCATCATCATCATGACGATGATGAATATTTAACAACAACCAAAAAAATTTGATGAAATAAAACCGACAAATCCATAGGAAATGCTATTAATCTAATTTTTTGTTTTAAAAATCTGGAAAAAAATTGTCAAATTTTTTTTCAATTTTTTCTATGGCCGTTTTTCGATTGCATTTGTAACCAATGGTAGACGTAATTGTCGTTGGTTGATTTTGTTGATTTTGATTGAAAGCTTGGATTTCCTATGCAGGATATTTATCTGTACGTCTGTGAAACTTGCTTAGCTGTTTTCATTTGATTTTGTTTTTGTATAAATGTATCGTCATTTTATTAAGCTTTGTGTGCATCAATAGATTTATGCTTTTTTCAGTTTTGTTTTGTTTATCCTAACTAAATACTATTTTTTTCAATTGTTTTTTGTTTTGTTTAGATAATTCAAAACAACAAGACGTATTTGAAAATCTTACGCTTGATTTAAGCAATATTCGTAATCGTTTTGAAACAGGATCAGTATCGAAAAATAATAATAATAATCATAATCATATAAATAATCATTATAACGATAATAAACAGCCAATAACTCGTTCGGAAAGTATACATAAAATCATGAAAAAGTAAGTTTTTTTTTGTTTTGTTTTGTTTATTTTTCATTATTTGATTTTGTTGATTTTTAAATTATCATTATGCAGATATCAAAGCCGTGTTGCTGGTGATAATTATGTTAACTCATCATCGGATGAAGAAGATAATCAACAACAACAACAACAAAATAATGATAATGATCATTCTAATAATGAAACAATGAATAATAATAATGATAATGATAATTTAAAAGAAAAAATGTCATTCACTGGTATGTCATCATTAAAATCACAATGGGAAACCGGTTCAATTACAAATCGACATGATGATAATCATCAAAATGTTGAAAATGAATTGGCTGAATTACGTCGTCAAAAGGGTAAAAATTCTGAACCATTAACAAAAATATATGAACGTGCTATACAGGAAGCAAAAAGTCAAGAAAATCTATCCGCACAACAAAAATCTGAACAATTATTAGAAATGGATGTTGGCTGTTGTTCAGTACGTGCTGGTTCGATAAAAGAAAAATTTGAAAAAGGTGCCGTTGATTCAACCGAAACTGAAGAAGATCGTATTGAACGTTTACGTAAAGAACGTGAAGCTGAAATCATACAAATTGCCAATAATGATCGTGCATTAAAAGAAGCTCGTAATAAATTTAAACAAATTGAATTAGGACAATCAATGGATAATATCAGTAATAATAATAATACTAATGGTCATATTGAATCGATTGATTCAAAACAATTGCAACAACGTTTTAATTATTTTGAAAATCGTAATGATTCATCAATTAGTAATGGTGATCATGTTGATGGTGATGGTGAAAAACAATCATCATCACAACAACAACAACAACATTCATCAGTAAAAATTGTTGATGATATACCAAAAGTAGATACAACCAAAAAAATGTTAAGTAAATTCAAAGCACTTGAAGCTGGACAATCAGTCAATAATAATGGTGATCAATCAACAACATTTTCCGCTACTAATGGTTCACCAAAATCGCCTAAACGTATTACACCACCACGTGAAACGCTTAAAGTTTATGAAAATGAACCATTAGTTGAACGTGATCCAAATATTGGTATGTTGTAACATGGTTTTTTTTCTTTCTTTCTTAAATTCTTTTTTAAATTCTTAGTTAAATCTAGCTACAAAACCGAAGATGTGATTCAAGTTGAACCGGAAAAAGCAAAACATTTACGTGCTAAATTTGAAAATTGGCAAACAGAAATCGAAAGAGAAAATCGTAAACAAGATGATGAAAATGATTTTGTACCATTGGAACGTGATACGACAAAAAATTTACGAGCAATGTTTGAATCAATTCAAAATGAAACAAATAAACCAGTGGATAAACCACGACCACGTGTTAATCGTTTTGTGGTAAGTAATTGTTTGAAAATAAATTAACAGCATGTATATTTTAGCTAGCCGATTAGAGCTTAGAGCTATTCTTATATTACCCATTATTAACAAACCACAAGCTAAAATGACGCCAAACTGATGATTAGAGAATCAGAAAATAACCCAAAAAAGAAAACTAACCAAAATATAAAAAACGTTCATTCATATTGTAGGAAGTTGATGGCAAAATAATAATAATTTGCCACAGATTAATCAATTGATAATTTGCTTCTGCTAGTTACATCAATTTGTTTTTTTATATTTATTTATATTTTTTTAACAACAAATCATTAGGATGATGATTCTGGCCATAATGATGCTAATAATAATATTGATGATTGTTGTACGAACAATGATCAAATTCAACATTAAAAAATCATCATCATCCTTATTGATTATTGGTTATTGATTTTGCTTTATTATTACAAACGGACAAGATTGCTTTTTGGTCATTATCAATTTTTTTAACTTTAAAATCGAGAGAACAAAAAAATCATCAAATAATGATGATGATGATTTATAAATAATCATAATGGCTTTGGCTGTATTGGATAACATAATTCATTCGATCCAAAAATATACCAAGCTTAGAATTATAAATTTTCATTGAAAATTTATTGATTGTTTTTTTATTATAATTCTTATTCGTTTTTTTTCTTTCTTTTTTTTATCTTTTTCTATTTACCTTTTTTTAAAAAAAAACAAAATTATTATAATCAATTCAGTGAGAATATTTTTCCGTTTTCTTTCATATATTCGAATCATTCGAATGAATCTGGATTTAATCTTTATAAGATAAACAACATCAAGTTGTTGTTGTTGTTTTTCAATGATTAAAATTATGTTTTTTAATGAAAACAAATTCATATTTATAATTGAGAATATCATTATTATATTTGAAACAAAATTGATTATTTAAAAAAAACATTGAAATAAACATGATTTTTGGTGTAAAACCTGGGGTTATTCTCTGAATTTTTTCGTCTTCTAAAGGTGTACATTTGAAGCATGGTGGTTTTTTTGGGACAACAAATGGTTATTTATTTTTATTAGTATTTGGTTGTTTTTTTTCAAATATTGGTAATTTAGTTTAGTTGAATAAAATTGTAATTTTTTTTCAAACAATAAATTTTCTAGCAAGAAAAAACATATCAACAGCAAAATGATTCCTGTTATGTTTGTTCAACACGTATCTATCCAATGGAAAAGATGGAATTTTCTGGTATAAAATTGCATAAAAATTGTTTCCGTTGTGCCAAGTGTCATATGCCAATGAGGTAAGAAAATCAGTTTTTTTCCTGTTTTGATTTGTTATTTTAATAAATCTTTTTTCATTTTGTATTCAAGATTGGACAATTTTACTCAACATGCCGATAAATTATTCTGTATTCCACATTTTAAACAATTATTTATGGAAAAAGGAAACTATGATGAAGGATTTGGTCTTGAACAACATAAAGATAAATGGTCAAACAAAACAAATGGTAAATCTTCATCGATAGCTACTGTTGCTACTAATGGTAAATCATCTAATGGTCATCATCATATTGATCATGATAATGAAGATCAATTGGATGGTGGTTTGAATGGTAGCCATAATAATAATATAAAAACCAATGGTCATAATGGTAATAATAATAATTTAATCGATATCGATAGTGATGAACAATTGGATTCATCAATCGAATATCATCATCAACAACAACAAGATCAATTGATTGAAGATTATTGATTGATACAAAAGAAAATCGAATCTTCAGCAAACAGTATTGGCGAAAAAAATTATCAACATAAGATGTTTGGATTTTTTTTTCGCTCCTGAAGACTTCCATTTTTTTTCTTCAAATCAACTTAACCAAAGTTATTTTGGATATTGACACTTTTTTTTTTGTTTAAGCCAATTTTTTTTGCTTATAATAATCGTTTGATTTAAAAAAAAACACAATTTTCTTCCATTTCGTGCTTTGTCCCCCCTCTATTTTTTTTCTCTCTCTCGTTACATATTCAAATATACGGATTTCTGACAATTAAATAGCTTTTTTTTTTCTTTTGTTTCAATTATTTTGTTCTGTAAATATCTTCGAGACAAAGATTGGTCATTGGTCATCATCATTATCAACTTTACGGGAAGAAGAAGAAAAAACCAACAACAAATGACCAAATCTTGCCTATATTTATTGATTGAATATTTTTTTTTTCTTAAAACCAAAACAAAAAAAATTGTCAAAAAATACCTGATGATTTGGAATTTTTTTGCTGTTTCTTTGCCGATTTTTTCTTTTTATCTCTATTTGATTGTATTACCGTTTTAATGTTTGTGTAAAACAAAAAGAAAAAATTTCTGTGAAATTTAATTTATCATTAATAAAAATATCTTATTGAATTGAGTGTTTTTTTTTGTTGATACAATTTGATCAAAGATAACAACAACAACAATAGAAATAACACTTTTAAAAAGCAAGGCCAAAAAAAAATCTGTAGATATTCTTGGAAATCAAAGTAATCAATTATAAGAATAAGGTTGATTATAAATGTAAAAAACATTTATTCCCTCAATTGTACCCATTCAGTTACATCATTAGATTAGTAGCTAAATGTATTCTAATCAAAGATTATAGTTGCTATTTAGTAATTTTGTTTTTTATGATAACACATACCTGATCTAAATTTTGTACACTATATATATTTGTACCATTTTGGATTCAATTGATCATTTATTTGTGGTAAGACATTAATATTATAATTTTTTCTTACAACAAACAATATCAGAAGGTAAGTTGATTGAAATTTTTACCGAATCATCAATGTAAATAATGATAATTATTGTATTAAATTTATTAGCGATTTCAAAGAATGGATAAAAAAAATATCGAAAGAGATTCTATGATACGTGAACTTATAGATGTAATGATCGAATGTAACAATGATCGACTTCAATGTATTGAAAACAAACAAGGCAATGAATCAGAGGAAGAAAAGGAGTTTTTACATATAAATTTAAGCATCTTGACACGTCTTAAGCAAAATTTCGATGCTCAAGTTAGTTTGCAACAACCAAAACCAGATCCTCAGCCATCAACATCTTCATCAACAAAGATGGTTGCTAATCCGATTAAAAGAGAACTATCTCCTGGATCGTCAAATAATTGTACTAAAAAATCACGAAATGGTTTGATACCGGAAAGGGATGCCGATGGCTTCCTTAACTGTAACTATTGTTCATATAGGACGGATAATTTAGATCATTTTCAACTTCATCTACATGATCATCTAGGAATAAAAGTTTATCCTTGCTCAAAATGTTCAGCTATTTTTAAAACTAAAAATGGCCTAAATAAACATCTTATTGATGATCACTATAGATTTTGAATGAAATAATTCATTTAAAAATTGAAATATTCAAAAATGATAATGAATAAATTTTATAATAAAAAAAAATTCAAAGAAATTTAATTTTTTAAATTAAAATTGTAATAAAAAGATTGAATTTAAAACCCAAAAAAAAACAACTTGTTTGTTTCAATGCCACTAGATGGCGAGTCAATATATTATCAACATCGATTTTTATTCGTCCATCACTTTGTTTTTGTTCGAAATGGTTTTCCGTTTATTTTTTTTCAACAAAAAGGAAAAACAGCGATAAATTGATTCTCATAATCACCGAGCCATGATTGAAATGAAAATCAGTTTTTTTTTNGTGGTAAGACATCAATATTATAATTTTTTTCTTACTACAATATTAAATTAATTAGCGATTTCAAAGAATGGATGAAAAAAATATCGAAATAGATATACTTAAAAATATAGAATTCATGATCAAATGTAACAATGAACGACTTCAATGTATTGAAAACAAACAAAGCAATGAATCAGCGGAAGAAATGAAGTTATTACATACGAATTTAAGCATCTTGACACGTCTTAAGCAAAATTTAGATACTCAATCTAGTTTGCAACAGTCAAAATCAGATCCGCAGCCATCAACATCCGCATCAACAAAAATGCCTAATATTCCAAATAAAAGAGAACTATCTCCTGAATCGTCAAATGAGGGTGCTAAAAAATCACGTACTGATTCGATACCGGAAAAAGATGCTAATGGTTTGATAGCGGAAAAAGATGATACTGATTCGATACCGGAAAAAGATGCTACTGATTCGATACCGGAAAGGGATGCCAATGGCTTCCTTAACTGTAACCGTTGCGCATATAGGACGGATAATATAAAGTATTTTCGATTTCATCTACAAGATCATCGAAGAATAAAAGTTTATCCTTGCACAAAATGTTCAGCCATTTTTAAAAATGAAAATAGCCTAATTGCACATCGTATTACTGATCACAATAGAATGAAATAATTCATTTAAAAATCGAAATGTTTACCATTTTCAAAAATGATAATGAATAAATTTTATAATAAAAAAAATCAAAGAAATTTAATTTTGAAATTAAAATAAAGTAATAAAAAGATTGAATTTAAAACCCACAAAAAAAAACAACTTGTTTGTTTCAATGGCACTAGATGGCGATCGTGGATATTTATCAACATCGATTCGTTCATCACTTTGTTTTTGTTCGAAATGGTTTTCCGTTCATTTTTTTTCAACCAAAAGGAAAAACAACGNAAATTGATTCTCATAATCACCGAGCCATGATTGAAATGAAAATCAGTTTTTTTTGTTTTCACATCTTCACATCAGACCATCTTTCTTTGATGATATATGGATATAGATGTGAAAAAAATAACATTTTGTCATTTTCCAGCGAACAACAACAAAAACATTCTAAAAATATTTTTTTAAAGGTAAAAGAGAAATGAGACAAACTTTTAAAGAAAAAAATTATTATTAATATTTTCATTTCTCATACATGGTTTGGTTGACGATTGTGTTTGCACATATTTGACAACAAGTTAATGTTTCATTCGAATCACAGAAAAAATCCATAACCATGTCCGCATCATTGTCCTCAATTTTCCCAATATTCTTCGCATCATGAAAAAAATTTTCAGCAAGAAAATCATTTTCATTCGATATAATGTTCCGGTATATGAAAATCTTAATGAATTTACGTTCAATTAAAATTCATCGAGCAAAATCGTTTTCTTTTGTTCAGATTTTTCTCAATCCGATTGATATTCAAAAAATGGGGGGATGTTTATTAATATCGTTAATGGAGAACAAAACAAAAAATCTGTTTGGAAATTAGAATACGAAATTACACTTGTTTGATTTGCCCAGTTGTTTTATTGTTGTTGTCGATCAAACCGTTACATGAATCTATTCAGATGCAACTTTAACAACAACAACAACAACGAAATAATGAAAACCACAAAGTTATTACGTAAAATATTACAATTTTTTTCTGACCATTTTCCATCCCATTTTTTTCTTATCCGCCAATTGTTGGCCATATAATCATAGTTTTTATTATTATTAATTATAATCATCATCATCATAATCATAATGATGATAATATAAATGATCTATAATTATACAATACATTAGCCGCATCCAGCCCATTTTTCCCCTGTATATCTTTTGATATGTATCAATGAGGGGGAAAAAATATGATCCACATTCAAAAAAACATTGACATTTTTGTTCAATCAAACAATTAATCCTCCTAATAATGGCTAATGGCTAAATTGATTTGATTCAATTTTCAATTTTTGATTTTCGGATTTTTTTGAAATTCGTAATTTATAAACAACACCGAGTGAAACACACACTGACTGAAAACACCAACAAACAAAAAAGGACATACAATATTATTATCAAGTTTTGAAGGAAAAGCAAAAAAAAAAAATGTTCTACATTTGTATTCGTCGATGATTATAATGATGATGATTATGATTATGGCCGCCCAAAAATTCACCAAAAAACAACTATCCCATATCGAATTATGATTATTATGATTTCCATTTTTTTTATTCATTTTCACATCGATTTATTTGGACATTTGAAGGCATTTCGAAGAAATGAAATGAAATTTGGCAAATTGGAAATATTATAACAGCCAAACGAAATAATAATGAATCAAAATTGAACCCGAAACACACACACACAGATTCAAATTTTTATTTATTAGACTATATCAAATAACTAGATTGATTGATTGAATGAATGAATGAATGTAGAAAAATAATTGGAAATATCAATCCACATTCAATGAATTGAATGAATGAATTGAGTAAATTGTCTTTTCATTCATTCAGTCAGTCAGTCAGTCAGTCAGTTTTTTTTCTTGGCTTCGAAAAAACCATGACCACCAACAATTGAATTGATTTATGAAATGAAATGAAACATAATGGATATATGATTGAATTGCAATCATCAACAACACTAAATTCAAATCATTGATATCAAATGATGACCATTGATTTGATATGAAGAACAAATCAAATCAAATCAACAACAGGAAAATAAATAAATAAAATGACAATTTGGATGAAAGCAAAAAACAAAACAAAAAACATTTGAATTGTGATTCAGCTCACCATTCCATTTGTTTCCCATCAAATCGATATTGGATTGATTTTTGTTGAAAAATTTCTGTGGATTGGAAAAAAACTTTTCGGGATATTCATCCACCTTTCCCAAATTAAAATAAAATTTATTTAGATCGAATGTGGTTATCTTGTGTCCACAAACAGGAAATATTACATATTGATATTTACCACAAATAATAATAATCATCATTATTATCAATTTGGCCATCATCATCATCATTTGTAATTATTATTATAATCATTATAATCATTAATCGTTTGGTAGGTCGATTAAATTATTCAGTTTTGTTTGTTTGGTTTGTAATTTTTCGTTTTTTTTGTTTTTTGTTTTTTCAAATCGACAATTATTATATCATCAAGCCGAAACAACAACAACAACTAATGTTTGGGATGAATATTTATGTAATGCGGATAGAAAAATATGGATTCATCGCTGTAGTATTTGTATGTATGCGTTTATCATTCATCAACAATCATCATTCGACAATCATNATTTTATTATTTTTTTTTTGTTTGTTTTTTATTTTTTTTTTTTTTTTTTTTCAAATCGACAATTATTATATCATCAAGCCGAAGCAACAACTAATGTTTGGGATGAATATTTATGTAATGCGGATAGAAAAATATGGATTCATCGCTGTAGTATTTGTATGTATGCGTTTATCATTCATCAACAATCATCATTCGACAATCATAATCAACATAATCCATTGAAATACATTTCATAGAATAGAGGTAAAGGTAATGAAATGATGGATAAGGAAAAAAATCCATGTGGACTACAACGAGGATGTAAAGTAAAGAAGAAGAAGTTGAAAATATTAAAGATGGTAATGTCCCGATAAACGAATTATAATTTTTAATTCACCTTCATTATTATTCCGTTTTTTTCATCATCATCATCATCATCATCATCGTTGTTAGTTGACCAGATGTCGATGATAATATTGGCCATTGGCAATGGACAAAACGATCATCATCAACAACGAGGTAAAGGGGAAAAAATAGACTTTCAAAGAAAAACAAAAATCCTTTGATCATCATCATCCATAAGGTGAATGAGTAATCAATGAACGATGAATTCATTCGTTATCTTTTTTCTGGTAAAAATTACCAAAAAAAAAGATAGATAGAAGGGGGAAAACAACCGATAGCGGTGTTTGATTTTTTCTTTCCTTAATTTGATGATGATCTGATCGGTCTGAAAGAAAAAAAATTGGTCTCTTTTTTTCTCTCTCTCTCTCTCAACTTACATCATTTCGTCGTAGACATCGTTCTATTCTATTCATTTTTGAATAATTTGATGAAATCGATGCTGATCACCATCATCATCATCATCAGCGCCGCATCCTTTTTTTCACATTAAAACTTTGTTTATTTCTTTGAACATTGAACGACGACGACGACGACGACGACTTGAAAGCAAATCAACCAACCATCATCATCATCATCATCAAACCGGTAAATCTAAAACAGTGAAGGGAAATCATCATCTTCAGTTCATTCAATATGTTCGGGTTGTTGTTTTCTTGCTATTTATGCATCATTCAAAGTATTGCGGTATATCCAAGAGGGGCAACAACATGAAATCAAAAAACTTGATTTTACCTGGTTTTTTGTTTGCTGGCAAACACACATGTGAAGGATTTGAACAACGACAGGAACAAGTTAAATTCAAACAACAACAAGAAAAAGAAGATCTTAAATTGAAAATGATCATCGGACAAGTTTTACTAATGTTGATGTTTGGCTTGGTTTGGTGTGTGACTTATGTCAATCTTCTTAAAGGTTCGTTCACTTTATTTCAAACAAAAAAAATGTTGTTTTTTTTCCTAAAAAGATTTTCTTCATTTTCTTCTTTTTTTTAGAAGAAGAGAAGAGAGTTTTATGTGGCCAGGTTTTACCTGAACATCGTTCGAGTGGTAAAATTTTAAATGAAAAAAAATTAATGTTGAATCGATCACGATTGATTCGATCGATTCTTCAATTCAATTTTGGATACCGAATCCTGTTACTATCAAATAATGAAAATATAAAACTAACTTGGAAAAAATGTTCAAAAGCTAAACTTGTAAAGGAAAATTCATGTTTTTTGATTCAGTCACTTGAAGCAACAGCAACAACAAGTGTAATGTATTGAAGGTGGATGTAAAGCCGACAGTAAAGAAAATAAAGTACAATCGATCATTTCTATTCGTGTTATTGCATCAATCAATCAATCAATCAATCGATCATTGCATCAGTTGGGAAGATGGTCTCTCTCACTTGGTCTCAATTAATATTAAAACTCAATTGAAACAACTCAATCACTGTGTGAAACATGAAACACAACTATTGTATGTTAAATCTCAAGAAAAGGTGACCAAAACAAAATATAAAAAAAAAATCAAATAAAACACACGACAGCTGGTCGTCTTATGTGTTACTTTGGACTTTTTTTTATTTATTTCATTTTCTTCATGGATATTGTTGTTTTGGTTCCAATCTACCAGCCGTTATCATTTTGATGGACAAAAAAAAATGATTGAATGAAATGAAATGAATGGAGAAAAAGAAATCCAAGAAAATCAAATACAATCTGCCTTTTTTCAATTTGCCTAGGTCTTTCTGGGATCAAGATTTCGACCGATAGTATGGTTTTTCCTTTTTTTTTATTTTCATTGCTTGACCTTCAGATAAATTACAATCTCAAGACATATGATGATGGTCGGTTGGTTGGTTGGGGTAGCCTTGTTGCAAAAAGAAACTCTAGCTTTTACTTCAGCAACAAGTGGTTGGTTTCTGGTTATATGCTGAAGATAGATATAGAGAGGGTATAATGGAAGTAGATTTCCAAAACTTGAAACTTGAAAAACTTTCAAAATGAAAATGGAAAAACTATCGTCTTTTTTTACTCTTTGGATCAATGTTCACTGATGTTCAATGTTCATTCATTTTAAATGTTTAAAAATAAAAAATTTTAAATTTTAAAACCATTTTCGCGTGATCAACATTTTGCCTAACCTTTTTTTTTTAATTTTTATTTCCAGGGGTAAGCTTTTGAAACGAATTTTTTTCTGAAATTTGGAAACATTTATCACATTCAGCCAAAAGACATTAAAATATGCATGTGGCGTTTGTATGCACGAACAAAGCTCATTTTCGTTTACCTGCATGGAACTTTCTTCTTCTGGTGGCCAGGTAATTCTCTTCTACCACTACTTGCACAATCACTACCATCATTTTTATTCAATCAACAACATTATCGTGTTACCTGTGTTGCAAAATTTAAAAAAAAAAAATCATTATTTAAGCTGCTTTTTTTTGTTGCAATGGGATAATCATCATTGGATGTGTATACCTGAAAACCTGAAAGACCTGGGCTTAAAACTAAAAACAAAAAACATCATTTTGCAACGAACAAAAAATTGCATTGAATCTTGAATTTTTCGGTTGGATCATGGTTGTCGAGTGGTGGTGGTGGTGGTAAAACTTAAAGACAGGAGTTTATATCAACAACAACAAAAACGATAAAAACCGGTAAGAGAACGAAGAAGGAGAAGTATCTTCTGTATGGAAAAGCTTTTTTACCATTGTTGCTGTTGTTGCCATTATCATCAACAAAACCATGTTAAAGTCTATCAAGTTTTAAGTCTCTCTCTCTCTCTCTCTCTCCTCTCTCGCACTCGACAAACAAGAAGTTTTCAGTCAATAGTCAGTCAGTTCGTGATTGTGGATCATATCGTTTGCAACATAGATCCATTCAGCAAAAAAAAAATTTCAATATTTTTTTTCAGAAAAAAAGAAGAAAATTGCTTTTTTTACCTGCACGTGTAAGCTAGTGTTAATCAAATAATCAAATCTACCTGTTGAATACACGACCGTTGTTGGTCGCTTTTTTTTTGTTTTTTGATTTGATTCTTGAATTCTATTGTGAAAATAGAATTTGTGATTCATCATTCGTTTATTTCTGCATCATTTTATCTGTTTTATTTTGGATCAAATTCAATCCAAATTTGTTTGTTTTTGTGTTTGTTTGTATTGTTTTTGTTTGTTCATTTTGTTTTGTCTGTTTGTTTTGATTTTGTTTTGTTTGTTTTGTTTTGTCTAATTTGGGTTTGACATAATGGTTATTGCACTTGATCTGCTGTGTTTATCTTTTATTGACAGATAAATTATCTCATTAAATTGTCATTTATTTATTCAATACACTCATTCAATCAATCAAATCATTCAATTCAAGTCATCAACAATGACAACAAATTGATTTTCTATCTTTCATTCAAATGTCAATGACAACAGCAAAAATTCCAACGACAATCATCATAAGCATTTTACGAATTGCTATGCTGGATCAGTGAATCAAACCAAAGAAATCAGAAATTTGAAAGAGGTGTTTTGAGCCTCGAACTTTGTTTTTTTCATTTATGGCCTTTATATGAATTTTGTTTTTCCAAGTGTTTTTCCACAATTCTTCTTGGTGTTTTCTTCGTTTCTCCATTCAATTATACATTCCAAATGATTTTAAAATCAAATAATTCAACAACGACAACGACGACCATGCCGAATTTCTTGTCATCCGGTCAGCAATTTTTTACCAAGCTAAAATCATCATCATCAACGACGACACCAACAAAATTATCATCAAATAAATCGATAATGATGAAAATCATATCAACTATATCGATAGTTTTGTTGATTTTAGGTTAGTAATTCAATTTTCAATGTAATCCTTTTTTTTTGGCTGACGAAAAATTTGAACCAGAAAAAAATTCAATTTAAATTTTCAAACTTTCAAAGATGAAATCATTGATCAATGATATTGATTTGATCGGAAAAAAGTTTTGATTTATAGGAGGTTGTTTGAGTGTGATGATAATGCGAAGAATCGAAGCGTAAACCAAATCTGATGAATAAGATTTTCATTACTGTTTGGTGTCTCTTTGGTTTTGTTGTTGTTGTTTTGGTTCGTTGACTTTGTGGTCGTCGTTATCGTCTTATTTTGGTGATGAATGTGACCAAAAAAAATCATTCTCCAACCGTACAACAACAACAACAACAACAATAATTTTCAGGCAAAGTAACAAAACGAAATCCAAAAAATATCTGTAATGTTATGGCCGAATAAGAGTAAATCATTCGAAACTTGTATCGTTTTCTGTTCGGTTGAAAAAGAAAGAAAAAACCAAATTTTGACTTTAGGGGATGACATGATCATTTTTGGCTACGATTATCATGATGATGATGATGATGATGATGATGATCGTCGTGGTCATGTTATTCAAAAGATTTTTTACAATAAAACAAAAACAGAAAAAAAAGACGACCATTTTTTTTTTTTGAAATGTAATCCTCTAGTGATGATGATGATCATTGTGAATGGCGGCGGTTTTTTGTTTTGGTCGTTTCATAATTGCAGGTTTCTTTTCGCCTGAATCTTTTCTGTTCGATGATCGTCCGACCATAAACAACGAATAATCGATAAAGAAGAAGAAGAAATGTGCGTTTTTTGGGTCAAAAATTGATTTTTTTTGTCTTCAAACATGAGAATTGCAAACATAATCGATTCACAATAATAATTGATAGTATTGATCGATCGATCAATCAATCATTCATTTGACAATAGAAATTTGTCACCAAAAAAAGCAAAACTCAAAGAAAAAACAAATTTTGTTTGCAAAACAAAACAAAATCGAACGGAAATTCCAAAAATCGAAAACATTCGAATCGATTCCGTACATAGATAACGTAACATTTATTCAATGAATGTATTCTGATTACTGTATAATCAACGATCCAAAAACAACCAGAAAAAAAAGAGTTTAAACATTCTTTGCCTATGATGATTATGTAACTGAACATATTCAAGTCGTCGTTTGTATGTCACATTTGTCGCATCATTCATTCAAGTCTTTGGCGTTTTTCTTTAGAAAAAAATGTAAATTATTATTTTTCTCCGAATTGAAATCTATGGTCAGCCAGTTTAAACATCTCGACAGACAGACAGAACAAAACACACCATTTTATCATCATCATCTTGTTTGTTTGATCCGTTTTTAATTTTCTTTCTTTTCATTCTTTTCATCATAAATAACAACAACTTTGAAAAACAGAAAAACAAAAAGGAAAAAATCGTACAATGAAACATTTTTTGTGTTTGTTGTGTTGAATTTTTAATTTTCCAACAAACGAAAAACTAAACTGAAACAAAACTAAACCAAAGTAAATTTGAACAAAACAAAACAAGAAAAGAAAAAATTCCCCCAATCATCATCATCATTTGTGTAATAATAAAAATCATAATTTGTTCTACTAAATAAGCTCCTCTCTGTGTCCATTTTGCTTTGGAATAATAATCCAAAAAGAAAGATAAATCCCTGAATTGAATAGGAAAAAAATGAAATTCCTTGAAACAAAATAGCATTCCACACATAGCTAAATGGAAATGAAATGGCCATTTCTTTTTCACGGACTGGATATTAACTTGTCAATGTAGTTTTCTTCTGCAATTGTTTCTTTTTCAGGCTTTTGTTCCAAGTTTTGTTTGCAATTTTTTTCTTGTTGAAACAAAGCAACAAATGTTGCTGTTGTTGTTGATCGGTAAGCTAATAATAATTTCTTTTCTTGATGAGGATGTTATGGCCTGTGTGTTGTAATCCTAAGGCAGGCTTATGGTCATTCGGATTGAATTTTAGGTGAATCATCAAAAGAAAGATGACCACGAATGTAGTGGGGACAAACACACGCGCAGTTGGCGGCCAGTTAATCATTAAGGAATTTTTTTTTTGCTCCAGATAAATAATGTTTTTTTTTTTCGTTTACCTTGATTTGATTTCGATTTTCTGAATCCAAAATCCCCACCTGTAAATCTATCAAAAACGAAGAAAAGAATATACATGTAGATGATGTTTTCATTTTCGATTCATTCATTTTTCGGCATTCATTCGATTGATATATATTCGATTGTCAGATTTTTCGAGAATAGATTTGTCAAATAAAAAAAATCTCCCAATAAAAATAAATGAAAAATCGACTAAATCCAGTAATCTTCAGTGTGTGAAGAAGAAGAAAAAATTCTTACGAAATTAAAGTATAACCAGTTTCTCTAACGTGGCAAAGATTTTTCGATTTGTGGTTTTGGCTGTTTGTTTTTGTCATTTTGAATTTTTCTTGCAAATTTATTTTCATCTTAACCTCAAAAACGATTTTTTTGTGGCTAAAATTTTGGTGGTGATATTGTTTACCCAAGAAATGTAATAATTTTTTTCCGTGTGATTTTTTTTTTTTTGGTC